TTCAACAGTGTCTGGCATAGTGGAGTCCACCTGGCATGTGCCTGGATTTCCCTGACCTCACCCATGGGGTCTGTCCTTCCATGACTAACAAAGGAGCCACCACTGAGCTCCCTCTCCCTGGTGTCCTAAGAAGATGAGGCCCCATGTCCTATCCCAGCACCAGCTCTTAGCTGATGGTCCGTTGCATGGAAAGTACCCCGTGCCTCAAGGGGAGATAAGTCCCACCTCCAACCCCAATTTTTAACCCTTAGTGGGAACTTGGTTGTGATATGTTTGAGAAACACTGAGGTTTCTGGCTTTTGTTATTTTTCTTGATTAAAAAAAATAATATAAAGCTTGCACGAGGACTTCGTGATTATCTGAAAAATAGATATATGAAGACTGGACAAGACTTAGTGATTTTCACTGAACATGCTGCTATTACCTAGATTATTCTCAGTAAAAAAATAGTTACTTGTTTCTAATTCCTAATATATATATATAGCATCCTAATATATATATTAACATCTTAATTCCTAATATATATATATATATATAATCAGCTTGTCCTATTTATAATATACACACACACAAACACACACATACATGTAGCTGAAATTATATGTAATCAGTAAAACCACTCCTTATTTTTATTAAACTCTGACTTGTGTTTCTACACCAAAAAAAAAAAATAAAAGCAGTCAGAAAAGCTGAAGATCTGGCCAGAATTTGGTTAGGATGCAGGGTTAAGTATTTATAAGAATATGTGCAACTTGGTGGTGTTGAGGCCACCTCCTGAGACAGGGGTGTGGCTGCTGTGCTGTGTGGGATGGACAGCAACAAAGACTTTGTTTGCACTGGAAGAGGGAAATTTATAATGGATGTTGGGAAAAACCTTCACCAGGGAAATCTGTCTAGTTGCCTTAAAAAGTTTCAGCTGGAGCTTTGTTTCAATTGGTGACTGCTGGCAGCTAAAGCCATCTACAGTGGTTTCCTAATCCACAATTTCACTTGTGTTCCGAAAATACTGTAGACAAAAAGATATTTTAAGAGTGAGAGAGAGAGAGAGAGAGAGAGAGAGAGAGAGAGAGAGAGAGAGAGAAAGAGAGAGACCATATTCACGTAACTTTTATTAAAGGACATTGTTACTGTTACTATGCTTTATTATTATTGTTGTCATTTTCTTACTCTGCCTAATTTATAAATTAAACTGTTGGCATATGAAGAAAACTAGTATGTGTGGGTTTGAGTTCTGTCTGAGGCTTTGGGCATCCACTGAGGGTCTTGGAACATATCCCTGCAGATATGGGGAGACTCCATCATTTTCAAAGACGTTTTCAAGTATCTTCCCACTTAAGAGAATTTTGCTGGCAGAAATTGCTGCCTACTGTCAGTGCTTTCCTTCTGTTAGATGAGGCACCCACTTCATATTCCCTTGTACATTTCTTTGTATTCCTTCTTATTTTATTTCTATTTGTTTCTATAAAAAAATTCTGGTGACTATCATGACTTTAAATCATCCCCTTATAAGTCTATTTCTTAATTCAGCAGCTCTAAGTAATGTCTTTGTGCTTCTCAGTGAAAAATAAGGACTTAACATGTTGCCTTTAATGCTTCCTCTTCTCTCCCACTCTGTGTTCTGATTATTACTTGATGGATTATTGGTATTATGTTGTTAGGATTTGTGACATCGGTCTTCTATTCTGAAATATGGTGAAATTGCTTACAGGTTGATAAACAATGGAAAAACCACTTATCAGAACTACCAGAATGATGGGGTATGGATGTTTTCATTGTTTAGCCCTCTGAGAAAGAGCATGTAGTTGCTTTGATACTGAAGCTTTCCAACTACAGGAGACTTCCGCAGCCATTCGTATCTGATGGGTCTTCCTTCTTGCTTTCTTCTTCTGCTCAGGTTCATACTCATTTGCTATGAGATCTTACATTCAAGTTCATATTTTCTTGGAATCCATTCTTGAATTTTGTTTTGTTTTGGTTTGGTTTTTTTGCGTAATTTCATGGGTGGGCATTCAGAGAAAAATTTTTGACCCTGATCTGTTCTGAAATTTTTTTATTTTATTCAGTTATCACTTTGGATTTTAGTTTATTTATTTATTTATTTTAAAAAAGATTTATTTATTTATATAATCACTGGGTACAGTCAGAAGCATGGGAGGGTGAGAGAATTCACCAGAGCCAGAATGGGGAACAGAACAGGCAGACCGACGAAATACACTGCTGAGGGGAGCAGTGGGTACGGCAGGAGAGGTCTGCATGCTATGTGGGACCTCGCCGGCAGCCGGGGATCAAGCCGACGCTGCAGAGGCTGCAGGCAGCTTCACAGTCCAGCGCTCAACCACTGCGCCACCAGGGGAGGCCCTGGATTTTAGTTTAGATGGGTATAAACTCCTAGTTTCAAAAATTTTTGTCCATCTGGTCTTTGAAGACATAATTCTGCTGACTTCTAGCATCCAGTATCGATCATGAGGCGTCTGGTGCCAGTCTAGCTCTGTGTGGGAATCTCCCTTCTCTCCCTTAAACATTCTCTCTGCTGTTGGCATTTATATTGGTTTCATAGGGAGTAGACAGCAGTTTATCTCACCTGGATGAATTAAAATCACAGAAATGACTGTTCCCACAATGAAGGTGTGAGCAGTGCCATACTCTCTGTCTGAAGATCCTCAGAGGAGTCTGTTCTTGCCTTTCCCGTAGGTTCTGGTATTGACTGGCAGGCTGTGGCATTCCTTGACTTGCAGCTTTGTGAATCCAGTGTCTGCTCCCAGCTTCACGCGATGTCTTTGCTCTGTGTGTCTCTTCCTCTTCTCCCTAGCAAGGGTGCCAGTTGTTTTGGACTGGGGCCCACCCTATTTAGTCTGACTTCATTTTAACTTACTATATCGGCAAAGACCCTAATTCCAAGGTAGGTCACATTCACAGGGTCTTGTTCTTAGGACTTCAGCATACGTTTGGGAGGCACAGTTCACTAACAGCATTGTAAACTTTTACCAGAGTCCAGCCAATATGCTTGTTTAATTCTTCTTTACACGCAGTGAACCTTCCTTTCAGTTTCATCACTTTTAATCTTTCTTTAGTTCAAGGAAAATGTCTTATTTTCTTAATCATTTCTTTCCTCCCATTATTTCTGCCTAGAATTTATATTTGTTAGATACTTGATTTTTTGGATGACCCTCCGTATTTCATATTCTGTGTCCCCCCTACTTTTGATCTTTCAGCTTTATATTCCAGAAGATTCTTTGACTTCCCCCAGCTATCAGCTTGGTCTTTATTTCTGTCTTTTTCTTTGTCAGTTAATTTTTGAAATGTTGACTTGTACAATCATATCTTAATTTCCAGTATTTCTTTTGTTTTTCTAACATTTTGGATACAGTATACACCCAAATTCTCTGAGGACAGTAATTAGGATTTTTGTTCTTCCCTGAATCATGTCTTTTCTCTGGGTCTGAATGTTTTTAGTGTCTTTGGTTTTCCCTGTGATTCTTGCTGGTGTGTTCATAGTGTTAAAAGGTCTGTGATGCCTGAGTGGGTTTCCATGGCAGTGCTGAGGATCTATTTCTCATATACATGACAGTGCTGACCCAGAGCTCTGGGCTAGAGCTGAGTAAATGACATATAGACTGCCCTTTGGGGCATGTGTGTGTGTGTGTGTGTGTAGCAGAAGACAGATTGAGAATACTAATAAGCCTTAAAATAAGTATGGCTTTGCTCAGGGGTTAGAGTCTTTTTGTGTATTTTCTATTTTTTACTGGAGCTGCCTTATTTGTCTCTTCCATTCTGCCCCTTATTTTATGAAGATTTTTGGAGTTACTGCAAGCTCTCTTCTGCTTCTCAGTTCTGACTCCTTCATTTGATATTCTCCCCATGCGGGTATTCCACTTTCTTGAGAGAACATCTCTACATTTCTTTAACTGTATCCCATGGGAAAACATGGCCACCAGTGTCTGTGTATGCCAGTCAGTGGGAGGAGGAGCTTAACTTCCCAGCTCTTCAGACATCATTGTTTAATGTGCTACCTCAAGGAGTCCCCCAGGCCCTCTCCCACATTAAGTATTGGTAGATGAGCACCTCAAAGACCTGTTCTAACTCTGCTGGTTGATGAGCACCTAGAAGACCTTTCTAATTCTAATCTCTTGTACTTCAGTTTCTTCTTCTCCTTCACTGATGGACTAACCCCCAGCTTCACTTATTTGCAAAAATGCCTCAACACTTTCCTCATGGCGAGCATTTTCATTCATCAATATTGTTCTACACATCTGATAAAACATAAATTTCTGTGGCTGTTCAGGAGAAGGACATGTATTATGTACTATCTACAATGCATATTTTTACAAATACTCTTTAGTTTTTTATTTCTTCTTTCTGATGTTTTACCACATGCAGTTTTTTTCCACTTGCACACATAAAGCAATAAGTATATTAATGAACAGACTGTAGGATTTTACTACATGTTTTCTGCCTGATTTTCTATTTTCCTTGGCATCTGGGAGGAACACATATCAGTGTCAGTTCTGTTGATGCCATATGAAGTATGTTTCAAACATTCATCATGAGGAAATCAACTAAATTCTTGAATGTTTAATGAACCCACTTTTGTAATTGGCCTGAAAAATTGAAATAGTTTCAGATTAAAATCTTTCGCAGTTAATGAAAGCAATCGAATGGAAGAATTTAAAGATTTGATAATTCCTCCCCCTCCCCAGTTTTGTTGAGATATATAATTGACATATAATATAGTCTTAAAGATGTATAGCACAGTGATTGATATACATGTAGGTTGTGAGATGACACCATCACTTGAGTTGTACATTTTTTTCTTGTGATAAGAACTTTCAGATCTACTCTTAATTTTCTCTTAAACAGTACAGTATTAAGTATAGTCATTTTCACATACATAACAATCTTAATTCTTTTTTATGTATTCTATGTTTATAAGATTATTTTGATTTTGTGTCAGATGATATAGTCAAATTAAGAAGAAAATATTTTTAATCTTTGTTTTCTAGCAAAAAATCGTGGAATTGCCATCCCCGTGGATTTAGACAGCCAAGTGAACACTCTCTTCATGAAGAGCCACTCAAATATGGTGCAGAGGGCGGCCATGGGATGGAGATTGTCAGCTCGCTCTGGACCACGCTTTAAGGAAGCTCTTGGAGGGCCTGCTTGGGACTACAGAAATATCATTGAAAAATTACAGGTACAATGAGCGTGTGAAATGGCAAAAATATTTTCTAAATGAAAAGTTTTGATACATAGTCAAAGGAAAAAAATAGTGAAAAGTCTCAAGTTCTAGTTGGGGACCAGGCTTTCCTTTAAAATTCCCTAGGGGGCCTCCCTTGGTGGTGCAGCGGTTGAGTGCTGGGCTGCGAGGCTGCCCGCAGCCTCTACAGCGCCGGTTCGTTCCCCGGCCGCCGGGGAGGGTCCCACCAAAAAATAAATAAATAAATAAATAAAATAAAATTCCCTAGGAATACCATAATTTTAAAAAGTATGGCTTATGGGTAAAAGCTGTGCTAATCATAAATATGGTAAAGTAATTTGCCATAAAGACATGTCATAGATGAAAGCTTGTCCCCTTGCTTCAATTTAAATGTATTGTCATACAGTCCCTTGGTGAGGACAGGAATAGGACATTGTAGGGGAGAGAAAGATGAAGGGCCAATCACAGAGTGAGGACATGCCTTAAGCAACCTTTATTGTTTTTTATTGAGGCAATGATTTACACTGTTAATATGTTTTAGAAGAATAGACTCTCCCCACTTTAGGAGTTGTTACCATCCTGTACCCACCATCAAATTAAGCTGCTTTTAGACCAGACAGGCAGTTGCTCAATAAATATTTGGTGAGAACAATGCCAGCCATAATGTGCTGGTGGTAGAGCACAGGATCTGTGCCTTTAGGACATACACATTTTAGCCCATTAATAAATGTTAGATAATTAAAACTGCTATGAATAAAATAAAACAGGGTAGCTGCATGGTAGAGAATTACTGGGAGAATGATCTTATAGTTAGGGAGATGGGAATAACGAAAGGAATAATCTGTTAAAAAAAAATTGAGATCAGAGGTTTTGTGGGGAAAAAATAGTAAATGCAAAGGTGCTTATGCAGGAAGGAGTTTGGGAGGTTTGAGCCATCAAGAGAAGGCCACTGGGGCCAGAGTTTGGTAAGCAAAGGAGGGTATTATGAAATATAGACTAAAATCTTGTAGAGATTTAAATGCTAATGCATTGGGGTTTTATAAGTGTGATGGCAGATGATCGAACACTTTCAGTAGAGGAGAAACATGACTTAGTTTACCTCTAAAAAGATCAGTGTGGATTTTGAGTAGTGAATGGGTTATAGGATGCAGCCATGAAAGCAGTGAGTTTAGTTAGGTGGCTTTTGTACTAATTCAGGCAAAAGGTGATGGCTCCTTGGCTTAAGGGAGTAGCAGTAGGCATGAAGGGAAGTGGGTATGTTTGCTTGTTGGCCCAACTGGACTTGGTGAATGGGTGACTGGGTGAATGGGTGAGCGAGATATGGGATAGTGAAGGAGCAATCAAGGATGGTTGTGGGTATAATGCAATTGTATCATTTGCTAAGATAGGGAGAAGGATGGGAGAGTTGCCATCTCGAATTCTAGGTGGGGAATTTTATGTTTGAGATGCCCACTTGGATACCTGTATGGGTGTGTTAAATGAGCAGCTGGAAATGCAAATGTGAGAGGTTTGGAAAGCTGTCCATATAGGAAATATCAGCATGGGAAGCTTCAGCATGAATGTGATAATGGAACCATGGAATTAGATGAGATGTGTAGTTCACCAGAAAGTGTAGTTATTGACGAGAAAAGACCAGGAGTCAGCGAAGGAAATGGTCAAGATGTTGGTACAAAATGAAGTGTGATGGCAAGAAGCCAGAGCAGGAAGTGGGTGAAGGCAGCAGTGAGTGTGTGCTGAGTTCAGCAGGGCCTGGGTGATGAAGACAGAAAAGGATCCATTGGATTTGGCAACGCAGTGATGAATGCAGCCAACTGGTACTAATGATGCTAACAGTTATTAAGGAATAATAAATGACTCACAGGTTCTGGAGGGTCTTAGGTGCTGACCTTTAACTCTTCCAGCAGGCCCATGTGATGGTGATGTCCTGATCCTGTAGGGAAACGAGATAATAGTGTTTGCATTGTTGGCCTGTGGTCAAAGAGATAAAGACAGAATTTTATGTCATAGGAGTCTGAACACAACTTCTTTAGTCAATGAAATGAAGGAAAGAGGCCATCAGAACAACAGGTGCATTTTAGTGCTGCTTTATTTAACATGATCATATTCTCCTCCTGCCTTCATGTAATATCTCATTATGTATACCTAGTTTCCTTACCTACTGTTTGTATATACTAGACAGTACATATTATATAAAGGACGTGACAGTTTGATATTTGTTATACCTTCCTGGTATTCTGTTTTGCTGTCACCAGAAATTTCTCAGATGTTTATTTACGCTAAATGTAGCAAATGGTTGAACAGGAGTTAACTCCTTTACTCCAACCCTAAGAAATCAAGAGATTTTTCCCTCCGTGTTGCTATAAGAAATCAAGAGATTTTCCCTCCATGTTGCTGTCCCTAAGACTAACAGTAAGCAACTGACAGTTTTCTGCTTAACAAAATATGCCATAACTGTGGTGAATAAAATATGGTGTTATGTGAGAAGATTTTTTTTTTTTGTCTAACAGTTATTTTAGAAACAGAAAAGGGAGGCTTTAATCATCAAAGAATGTTCAGTAAATGATCCTCGCCTATAGTACATCCAGAAACATGTCAGTTAGGATGCTTTCAGCTATAATTAACACAATATTCAACTAGAAGTGGCTGAAACAACAAAAATAGGTTGTTTCCTTTTGAGAAACCTGGACTTGGGGTTCCCCCTGATTGGTGAAGTCACAAGCTGGTCTCTGAAGGTCACTGGCTGGTATCTGAATGTCACATCAGGCTGGTCTCGGAAGGTCACATCAAGCTGGTCTCTGAAGGTCACAGCAGCACTGCCTCACATTGGAATCCATACCCTCGAGCTGTCTTGAGAGTCAGAAGTATTTCAAAAAAAGCCTGCCCCCTCTTCCAGCCCCTTACCTGCTCCCCACAAATGGCACGCATTCAGCAGACTTCCCCCATATTATCTCATTGGGGAGGACCATATCACATCATCACACCTCGACCAGTCACTAGAAGGGGGATGGCATGACCCTGACTGACTGGCCCTCCTCTCCCTGAGAATGTTGCTGCCTGATTCTAAAACAGCATGGGAATTCTGTTTGTGAGGACGAGGGTGAAGAGTTAACAGTGTCAATCAAACATGTGATTTGAAATATCGCTGGACCTGTGTGCAGAATTAATACTGCTTCAGATAATATACCAAGACATTTTGCCACAGGAAGGAATGATTTCTCGATGACCAATGGCACACTGGAATCTTTTTTCAGCTGCTCCCCAGCGTGACCTACTTCTTTCCAGATTGATGAGTGCCTGTCATGTCTCCTTTCCAATCCTAGACCCGCTGGTCCTATAATACTGGCTTTGCTGACTTAGCTTCGCGTCTGTATTTCCTTCAAAATCATACGGCGGTCCACCCCCCCTTCTCTTAGCAGTGACTAAGGAGACCATCTGCACCAACAGCAGAGACCTCACTCTGCATCCACCTGGGACAGCCCACGGGTGGGTTTGTCATGTCTTTGGAGGATGACATCTGACTTGGCTCTTCACGCGGGTCCTTCTGTGCTCCCTCTCTTAGGACGTGGTTGCCTCCCTGGAGCAGCAGTTCAGCCCGATGATGCAGGCTGAGTTCTCAGTGCTGGTCGACGTGCTGTACAGTCCAGAGCTGCTGTTCCCCGAGGGGAGTGACGCGAGAATACGATGCGGAGCCTTCATGTCCAAGTAAGCAGTGCCCCTGGGGTTCTGTGAGTCAACAGATGAGAGGCCTCAGCAGCTCTGTTTTCACGCTGCTGGTGCGTGATGGCCGCCCATGGAGTGTGGGAAAAGTCTAAGGTCCTTGTTCAGATGTGCTTCCAGGCACATTTGAGTCAATTGAAATTAATTTTATTTTGGTGAAGGTCAAGCTACCATGATTTACTAAAATTAACTGAAAATGAAATGGTTGTTATTGGACACAAGAGTCCACAAGAAGCTGGTATTTAGGTTCTGATTCTTTTCTATAACTGTATGATGTGGCTATTGAAAGGATCGCTGTTTAACACCACTGCTTTTCATGAGTGTAGAAAGGACAGAAATGCCACAGGCATTGTTTGGAACATCCTCAGGTATCCACTGGCGCATTGGCTCAGGCTGCTTACCTGCTGTGATGGCAGAGCCCACTGGTTGCCCAGAGATTGTATGACCTACCACACTTAAGTCTTTATCTTCAGAAAAGAGTAAGCTTCAGTTTAGCTCTTCCAAAAAAAGTTTTCTGACTCAGTGTTAAGAAGTAAGAACACTGCGCCGGTTACCCTGGCTCATCTGGTCTGCACAGAACCTCCGGAGGTGAGTGGCCAGCCTCATTTTAGAGACAGATTGCTGAGTGGGGCTCAGGGACATTTCAGGCCCAGCACTCGACCACGCTGCGGTGGCGATCCTCACCTGCAGCATTTGCATGTACTTATTTTTCTCAGCATTTTTGTGGTATTGTTCTATTGTTCAAGTTGATATGTTTATCCTAGAATGTTTTCATTTTAATGGTAAATGGAAAATTCTCATGGTCAATCTGCCAGTGTAAGCAGTTGTGAGAAAGGTCCCTCAAAGCTCAGAAAGAAGAAACATGTCTCCATGTGGAGGGCATGTCCCCAAGAGACGGGCTGTGCTGGGTCCTCCTGGGGAGAGATCTGGATGGGGATGTGGGTCCTCATGCCAGTGCCCTCAACCATGACCCATCCTGGCGGTTTCTGGTGTAGGGGAGGATGTAGTTGACAGAGATCCCAAAACCTCTGCTATGACTGATGTGCTAAGGCAGACAGTGAAGGCCTAGGGGACTCAAGAATGGTTCCTTTCTTTTACCTGTTAAAGCTGGGCTCTGAGGAAATACAGTGTGAGAAAGACCTGCCAATGGGGATCGTGTTGAGGAATAGGTAAAGTTTCTCTTTTATGGCCAGGATTCTGGTTGTTGGCTCTAAACCTATGGTGTCTTAAGGAGACTGGGAGAATGTATTTGCTGGACATTTGCCAGTCTTCTAATAAGAATTTTTAAGTGAAGAGCTCCAGAGTAGCTGCAAAACTAATGAGGCCAATAAGAAAAAAAATAAGTAGCAGCATTGCCAAGTAATACAGTATAAAAAGTCTTTGAAAAATGCCCCTCATTGTCTATGAATCTATATTAATGTACAGAAGATGTATTTAAAAGAGTGTAATAAACCTGAGAAGTTTAACTTCAGGAAATGAATGCACTGTAGCTCTATCTCAGAGTCTGGATAGTCTACAAGCAGGGCTGCTGCACTCTACCTGCAAGCTAAATTGATCTCCATGTTATTTTGGCAAGTAAAGTTTTGTTTGTTCGTTTTCTTCTGCTATATCCTTAGCATAATTTTTACTTTTGAGTCACATAAATGCTCAGAATAAAAAAAAAGTAAGAGAAACAAAACAATGCTAATAAAGTTTTGTTGACACACCCTCAGGTGTTCATGTGCACATATGCTATGGTGGTCGAGCCCACTGGTTGCCACAAAAACTGTATGACCCACCAAGCTTGTAAATCTTTACTATTTGGCTCTGCAGAAAAAAGTTTTCCAACTTGGCGTCAAGAAGTAGGCTGTCAAGTGTGGTTGCTCTTGGCTACATGTGACAAATAAAGATTTAAATTCAGCTTTAACCTATTGTAAATAGTGCTGCAATAAACATAGGGGTACAGGTGTTCTTTTGAGTCAATGTTTTTGTGTCCTTTGGATAGATCCCTAGGAGTGGAATTGCTGTGTCGTATGGTAGCTCCATTTTTAGTAGACTGTGGAACCTCCAGACAGCTTTCCATAGTGGTTGAACCAGTTTGCACTCCCACCAGCAGTGTAGGAGAGTTCCTTTTTCACCATATCCTCACCAACATTTGTTGTTGCTTGTTTTTTTGGTGTGTGCCATTCTCACTGGTGTAAGGTGGTATCTAATGTGGTTTTGATTTGCATTTCCCTGATTATAAGGGATGTTGAACATTTTTTCATATGCCTATTGGCCATTTGCATTTCTTCTTTGGAGAAATGTCTTTTAAGTTCTTCTGCCCATTTCTTGACTGGATTGTTTATATTTTGTTGAGTCCTGTGAGTCCTTTGTATATCTTTGTGATCAGTCCTTATCAGTTGACTGGAGTGCAATGATTTTTTCCCAGTCAGTGGGGTGTGTCTTTGTTTTGGTTAATGTCTCTTTTGCTGTACAGAAGCTTTTCAGTTTCATGTAATCCCAGGTGTTTATCTTTTCCTTGACTTTCTTTGCTTTAGGTGATGAGTCTTTAAATATGTTTTTGAGATGTATGTGTTGTAGTGTTTTACCTATATTTTCTTCTATATATTTATTTTATGGATTCAGGTCTTATGTTCAGTTCTTTTATCCATTTTGAGTTGATTTTTGTGCACAGTGAGAGGTAGTGGTCTAGTTTCATTTTTTTGCACGTGGTGTTCCAGTTTTCCCAGCACCATTTATGGAACAAACTGTGTACTATTTACAATAGGTAAAAGCTGGAAACAATCCAAATGCCCAAAAATAGATGACTGGATCAAGATGTGGTATATATACACAGTGGAATATTATTCAGCAATTAAAAAAATAAACTCATGCCATTTGCAGCAACGTGGATGGAACTAAAAGGATTATGCTCAGTGAAATAAGCCAGAAAGAAAAAGAAAAATATCGGATGGTTTTACTAATAGCAGGAATATAGGGGAACCAAAGAAGACATCAGCGTAAAAACATAATAACAGTACAAAACACAACAAAGCAAAAACAGACAATTATAAATCAGAGACATACTGCAGGGGAGGAGGCGGGAGAGGGATCAGAGAGAAGGAGGGAGGAGCACAGGGGACTGAGGTAATGGTGCACGGGTGCATTGGTGAAGGAAACTCTATGGGGACTACACCTGAGGGGGTGGGGGGAAGCAAATATTGTTTAAAAATGAACAATGATGTAAAAAATAAAAATTAATTTAAAAAGATTTAAATTCATAAAAAGATTTAGCTCCTCAGTCACATCACTAGTTTAAGTGCTCATGGCCATATGTAAATAGTGGCTGAACAATTTGACAGCGCAGATGCAGAACATTCCAGTCATTGTAGAGATAGTTATTTAAAGTCACTCTGAGGAAGTACTGACCTGTGCTGAAGGCAAGACTGGCTGTTGCAAGTTAGCTAAACACACAGGAGGGGCGTGGTGCCGTGGTGATGGGCACCTGGCACAGGTGCTGCAGGCAGGTGAAGGAAAGGATATACCCAAATTATAGCAAAAGTTGTAAGTGGATAGCTTGTCTTGATGTTATTAGCCTTTTTTATTTTTTGCTTCTAATCACTTTTTTTTTTTTTTTTTTTTTTTTTGCTTCTTCCAGCTTTGTGGAGGAGGTAATTTTCTTTAGGTTTTTGATATTCTAATATACTGTAGAATTTCTGGAATACCTGTTTCTATAAGCATTAGTAGTGAAAGGCAGCTCAGCAATGTTAATGGAAACAAGATAGTAGTCCCTTATAATAAGGTCTCAACAATGTCTACTGCTATAATTGCTATATAATTAGTGTCATTTAAAACAAAGAAAATAATATAGTGTTATATAATAACCGAGATGAGAAAGCATATGTTGTACAAAAATGAAGAATGATGTAAAAAATATACAAATAAATAAATTTTAAAAATATACTGCAAGTACTCACATCTCTCTACAAGTAACATTTTTTTTTTTAGTTCATGTGATGGGATGGAAGTGTTTCATTGTTTTTCAAAAAGTGTTCCATCCCACTCAAATATTTAAGTTTTACACTGGAAATATTTAAGTTTTACACTGCCTGTAAAACAAAGGATGTTGATCAGCTGAAGTGTAATTTAGAAATTATGTGAAATGTATCTGTTTTACTTCATATTCTCAAATAATAGTATGATGGTTTTCTTTTTAGTACACGATGTTAGTTCACAGCTTGAAGAGAAATCACTGCCCTATTTAAAGTTTGATATTTTGTTTTAAGGTTGATTAATCATACGAAGAAATTAATGGAAAAAGAAGAAAAGCTGTGCATTAAAATTCTTCAGACTTTGCGAGAAATGCTGGAGAAGAAAGACAGCTTTGTGGAAGAGGTAATTTTCTTTAATTTTTGATATTCTAAAATAAAGCAGAATTTCTAGAATACTGTAACAGTGCATTACAACAGGCTAACATGTGACTACTTGTATCATAATAATGGTGTGTGCCTTAGAGGAATAGATAATTGGAGTATTTATAGTTATCATCTTGCTTGTCTGCTTTGATTTGAGAAATAGCTAGGACTAGAATGGCACAAATATTTAGCATATTTGTTTTATTATATTTTAACTTGACTATATATACAGATATTCATCTAGCTTCAATGGACTAAAGGCCATTTTTTTTCAAAACAACAAACAACTAAGAGGCATTGTTAATAATCTGTAAAAAGTTCTACATGCTGAAATGGTCTATGCATTTTGGCATATGTTGACTCTCATTGTAAATATATATTCATATCATTTTTATAACAGTATGCCAAGTATTATATAATAATTTTTAAAATAAGTGGAATAGTATGTTTCTATTCTGAATATTTAAGCATTGCACCAATGATGCTCAGGGAATATTATAGATAATATTTACCAGTCTTTTATTAACAATGACAGCTCAGGATCTTATTCATGGACAGCTTGAGGCATATTCAGTGCTCCAGGTGATGCACACAAATATAAAGTATGAATCGAGACAAGTTCTTTCAGCTCACCTCTCACCCTTTTGCATTGCATATCACACAAAACTTGTGTCATGTTCCTGAATAACTTTCTGGTCTGTTTCTGTAAATAATCATCTGATATGTTTAACATTGGAGGAATTTTATATATTTATGTATATCTGACTCCAAAAATTGTAGTGGTAAGGTTGTTTTTCTTTTTTAAATATGTGTTCTTTTATAAAAGAAATGTAGTAGAATCTTGGATATTAATAGAAGGGTCACAACTTCAAAATATTCTCTTTGAGTTGGAAGCTTCCATCTGTGAACAAAATGACTCCTGCTTTGCACTAACTCTTTTCATCATTTAACTCTGCCTGGGAGATGAATGATCAGACTAAAGGTGATCAGTACAGTTTTAGCAAATATCTCTGTGACACAGGACTCATGAATATGGCTAATATGTTTGAGTAGAAAGTATGATTTAATCAAGGATTAATCGAGTTCCCTGGGACTTTTTACTGTCTGCCTGATTCCTTCAGTAGTGCTGTAGATGGTTTGACTTGAGGTGAAGTACTATTGATAGATCCTAAAGTGGAAAAATGGGGTCAATTTAAGTTTTTGACAGAAGAGTGATACAGGTGTTAGTAGTAACTTGTAGTGAATAGCAACTCTGTGGAAAGGCTTCAACTCTGTGTAATAGAGCATTACTGGATTGCTCTAAAGGAAGGGAGGGAAGAAATCAAGTAAGACTTTACTCTGCCATGTCAAATATATTTTTGTGAATCTCCCAAACCACCCTAAAATCACCCTGGAATCTTTCTCTTCTCCCTTCCCATTGCTGTCACTTGTTCTGGCTTTCATGATATGGAAAACTCCAGAAGTTCAGTTCCCTGGGACCTCCCAGAAGGGAGGCACACTTCACAAGATAGTATGTGAATGGCACCACCTCTCCCCCACAACACAGCCCTCAGGCAGAAAGTTAAGATGAGAAAGGCTGGTGGGGAGTGTGCACTCAGTCAGCTAACATAGCTGATATGAGCAGCTCCATAGGGACCGGGCACATGGAGATGAATGATGCAGCTGGCTGAGGGTCACCCTGGGAATCCTGTGAGAGCCCCTCAGAAATCTTCAGTGCCTCTGCCCCCTGTGGTTTCCAGGTCTCCATTATGTCCTCTCCACTCTCCCCACCCTTCTGCATCCTCAATGTGCCTGAAATTCCCCTCAGCTGTACCTTGCTGCACTAGTTGCATCTGGAATCCTGGGTGGCTGACACCCTAGTGTGTTCTTTGTGACTAGCTAATGGTAGTCCTTGTCACATGTTCCAGCCAGTGGTGATTGCTCTGTCCGTAGAATTATGAAAAAAATAAATTGTGCCTTTCCTTTTATGATGCTTCAGTCTGCTTCTAGTTCTTGTCCAAGCTCCTTGTTTTATAGATGATATCATTGAGAACCAGAGAGGTTATGTGATTTGACTGAGGGCACACAGCAACTGCCAGACCAGGACATACATTGGAACTCCTTTTTCCCTGCCTAATATTGATAGGCATCATGTTGTAAACATGATAAGAACAAATATTCTCTATAACTATTAAGGAAGGTTCATATATTTTTTTCAAGCTTGTTTTGGAGTTCAAATTTTAAGTCATAGGCAGACAGAATTTAACATCAAAGTATTTAAAGATTTAGAAAATCTCTAAGAAAATATTAAGGACTGTAGAAATGTAGTCATTTAACTACAAAAAGAAAAATCTGAAAGGGGCTTAGAGTTTTCATTTCTTAGTGGGCATGACTGTTAAGGACAACATGAAAATAACTTATGGTTGAAAGAACTTTAGATTTCAGACAACTTTTCATTCTGTGATATGGAAAAGAAGCATTTCCATCAGTATAAGTAGAAGACACCCTCCGTTCCCCAAGCTACTTGAAAGAAAAGCATGTTAGATCTAGAATTATTCCAATACCTACACTGAGAGACAGGACTAAGTGAGATCTGCTAGCTGGTTCTTTGTAAACAGTTGGTGCTCAGTTATCCCTGTTAGTGCACAGAAGCTAAACGACGCACCAACCTGGGTGAAGTCGTATTGGGTAATGGTTTCAGAAACTGGTCAAAGCTGTCATTTTACAACTGTGCTCTCAGAGAAACCCTTGCTGTCATCAGTAAGGGTACAGTGGCTATGTCTTCATGACATCATCCATTTCCTGTTTACCAAAAACCTTGTGGTTTAAAATCATGCAAATTTGTTTTCTTACAGTTTTGGTGGTTAAAGCTTAAAATCAAGGTGTTAATAGGGTGTTCTCATTCTGGAGACTCTAGGGGAGAATTTGTTTCTTTATCTTTTCTAGGCACTTCCTGCATTCCTTGGCTCATGGCCCCATTTTCTATCAACAGGGCCTGCAGTGCACTGTCTTCCAGTCTCTTTCTCTCTTCTCCCTCCCCCCACCCCCCCTCATTTATACACACATATGCCATTGTCACATCTCTTCCTCTCACCCTGCCACCTTTTTGTTGGGATGCTCATGAGTACCTTGGATCTACCTGGTTAATCCAGTATCTCCCCATCTCAGGGTCCTTACCATAATCACACCTGCAGAACTCCTTTTCCCCTGTAAGTACCCTGGTCAGGGCATAAACATCTTTGGGGAGGACCATTGTCCAGTCTATCACAAGGACCTTTTTTTACTGACAGTGGGAAATGACAGGTGCATGCAGGTACAGAGTTTGCCTGTGGCTGATTAAGTTACTGCATGTGCTGTCTAAATGTGAATGAATTGCAAACATTCTTTAACTTTACTCTCTTCAAAAGTTAGTATTCTGCTAACTTTCTACAACTGTTCTGGGAGGTATCTGGAGGAGGCAGTGTACTTACTTACACACTTGTAAGGTATGAGTTGTGTTTAATCACATAAGTTACCTAATACCTGGTTGTCTAATAGCTAATCAACCTGATTTCTACTATTTGTAGAAATATTTGATTTCTACTATTTGTAGCATCCCTAATAGATCTCTCAGAATTAGTGAAGACAGAAAAAACAAAGCTTTTTGAGATGAGCCAGCCTAATACTACATTTGAGATCCACTATTTAAATTTAAAATGTCATCTTAAAAGAAAGCCACATTTTCATTTTTGTTTCTTTGGTCATCCATCTCAGAAGTAACTGTGTGTATGTGTGTGTGCACATGGTGAGTAGATGGTAAAAATTAAGAAATAGAGCAATAAAGTGTAGATTGGCTTCATGAGTGGAGCAGATGGCCTATAGAGCAATTTCCAGCTTTTTGAGATTTTGGTTTTCTCAATTTGTTCGCCTTCTCTGTGGGACATATTGGGGGAAATCATTAGGTAGCTACATTTTTATCTGATATTTACAACATTCTGTATTTATAACAATTTTATAACATTTGTGACTTATAATATCTTTGATTACAATTCTTAATTAACTGTACTTTAATTAATTAATTAAAGTTAATTAACTGTACTTTATATTCTTTGTTATTTCCCCCTTCTTAGTTTGTTCCAAAAGACTGACAGATAAAATAGTGGTGGACCACATCTTGAAGAGTCTCAGCAGAGTGATATAAGTAAAGGGATATAAATTTTCTGTTCTGATGTCTCTGAGATCATCTAGTGATCATAGTTGTACTACATGTTATAGTGTTAATTTTCATTGACAGCTAAACCTTGAAAATTTTATCTAGAAAATCATTAAGGAGAAAACTTACTGAAATTTTAGAAAACTTCCACTTAGGAAATATTGTCTTTTTAGGTAATTCTCACAGGAAAGCAAAAAAAAAAAATCACAAAAGCTTCACCCTAACAACCTGGAAAACACAACACTCCTTTAAGATTGGTCATATTTGAAAGGCTTTTTAGGTAACAACAGCAGGCATATTTATTTACACTTAAAAATATGTAGAAGGAAAATTGCGGGAGAGGGGGAAGAGAAAGAATGCTTTATAATACCTGTAGGGCTCTATTATTTCTAATGTTCTCCAACCTTAAAGCCATTTTGTTCTAATCTTCTTTCTGTGACCTCTCTACCACAAAAACAATACCGGCTAGGCCAAGTTTCTGTTTCACGGAGTAACTTCATTATAGCACGACACTTCTGTGCCTTTAGAGGTATTTCAGGTCTAGGCCTGAGTAAGGGTCTATGTGACAGGGTAACGGAGACAGAAAATGCTGTGTGGGTTTGCTAAAGGTGGGGCGATGTGGGGGATCAGGAAACAGGTTTGTGGTCAGAGGTTTGGCTTGGTTTCAAGGGTGTTTTTGTTGTTTTCTTTTACACTGATACACATTTTCATTAAGATGTGGAGAGCAATACAAATTTTTTTTCTTGTAAAAGGGAGAAACATACATAAATCATAAAAAGTAAAGCTGTCTATAAGATCTGACCCTAAAT